GAAGAAGCTGCTGTAAGTTTCATTTCAGGCCTCAGCGGCGGGACCTGTCCTCACCTTTAACACAGCATGGCATATATAAACCAGACAGCAGGATTTGTGGAGGACCAGTATGCTTTTCATACAAAAAGCACCATGAAGTTTCACAGAGGTGGAGAAATAGCGGGAGACTGGTATGCACGCCAGAGTAAGGAAGATATATATAAGTCAAACTCCATCTACTTAGCACACAAATTAAACCAACTTGTCAGTGAACATTTAGAAATCATCGCTTGGGTCTCAGCGGGCCTCGCTGTTTGAACTGCAGTGTAGGTAGGCACTGTTTATCCTGGACTGGCCCTTGATTAAAATGAGGAATGGAAGAAGGGGGGAAAAAAGAAGAAATGGCTCAGTCTCTCGGTGGTCAGCCACAGCCTCCTCATCGCAGCCTCCACCGGCGATCTGACTTTCTCCTTTTTGCAATTTTATGTAATCACAACTCCAAGAGCTATTTTTAATGTGTGTTTAGGTTGTGCGCGCGCCATTCGATATTAAACATTTCCCCTTATTACTTAAAGGCCGACTTTATTTTCCCTCATAGCTGTGACTCCAAAAACAGCTGTCCAGACACCACAAGAAAGGTCCTTAAGTCACTGGAAGATGTAGATACCGCTGCTGGACTCCAAAAGAAAAATATCTACTTTTCATTAAGATTATACCGTACCGTACTTCACCAAACAATTCACAAAGAACATCAACATCCTCTTGGCGAAACGGCGCGATAGATTAAGTTTTTCACTTCCATGAGTTTTGGATCCCGTTGAAGCGAACCTCTGCGTGGCGCTCGCTTTATTCTGTTGCTTCAGGTCACCGTTCTGCCTCAGCAGCAGCGTAAGGGGATATTTACGTTCACACCAGTGGCGCGGTGGCCAACAGAAGCTGATTGCAAGTGGTGTTTGTTTCCAACGAAAGCACGTTAATTCGGGCCCGGCCGCAGTGTAAACTACCTTGGCGTTTTACAGATGTCGCCTGTTAAAGTGAATCACTGTACCTGCCTGTTTGCCCGACCGGGCCGTTCTGATGCCTCGCCAGAGAGAGTACACAACACGAGCCAACGGGGCTATTAATAAGCCCTTCCTTTTCTAATACTGTAATCCGTCCGTGTGTGTAATGTCTCGCTCCGGGCTAATTATGTCACGTCATTTTTAGCTTTCGCGACGAGACGAATCCAGACAGCCTCAGCCCGAGTTCATTTTAACCCATCTTAGGTGTCATTATCCCCCAATATTTTTCAGAAATAATTTTCTTTGAAAACAGTCATCTGCGAAGGTCATCTGCTGCGACAGAGCGAGGAAACAGCAGCGCTGCGTTACACACACGCTGCGTTAATAGCATGTGTCGTTTTTTAAGCGCGCTCCAACACACGATACCTCTATTATGTGTCTGCGAGAGCTTGTGATAACAAAGCGAGTCCATTTGAAGGTGTGTGGTCCTGAGTGGTAGAAGAGGGAAAGTGTCTGGCAGGGTGGGCCATCAACCACAGTCCTCAGGGCAGACCTTGGCCAGAGCTCAGAGTATGGCCAAGCTCTTCAGCGCCGCACACAAGTATAGCGAGCTTAGTGTACGGCCACCAGTGGAGAACCAGTAATGAATGAAATATTATATTCCACATTATATTTCAGCCTTTAACATTAGTACCTGCACATAAAACAAGCCAGCAAGATGTACGAATGTTACAGAATCAAGCTTCAAACTGTTAGCACACCCCCAAGCGACGAGGTACACTTAAGTATTTCCTTTTACTGCATTCATACATTTATACATAGGCCTGGATGTGCAAAATATATAAATATATATATATAAAAACAGTGTTTTTTATGAGCTCTAAACACCAGCATGGATGGGTTTTGCCGTGTTTGGCTCGTCTCTCATCAACATAATTTCCAGAGAAAAATTCTTCCAATCAAGCCGACTTAAATCCGATGAATAGCTTTTCAAGTGAGCTCTGCTGAACTGCACAAAGTTCCAAAAACAATTCTTATACCAACAAAGTCAGAACCTTTCATTTGGATGTCTTCTGGATTTGATCTAGAGGGAGTTAAATCTTCAGATTTGAAGACCAGCTAAAAGTGCACAGTGGTTTTTCATAAGGTGTGTGAACCTCTGACCTGACAGCGAGATGGGCCGCCTTCAACGAAACTTTGCTGCTGTATCGTGGGGGGGGCATCTGCAAAGTTGAAATCTGTGCAGCCCGGACAGAATTCATGCGAGATATCTGACACTACAGCATCATCACAGTTCAGATTTTCGCCATCAAGGTTGTTTATCACATGCCGTGCCACCCAAGAAGTTATGTTTCCTGCCATGTGAGTGGGGCTTGACATTTCTGCTTTACTTTTCGTTCCATGTTTTAGATTCAATCACGATGTGCAAATTATATCCCCATCAAACTGCGTGCAATTTACTGTGGCTCAGCGGCTCTCGGTGGTGCTGGACTCTGTCCTAAAGTTTAATACTTCTGACAGAAAAGCATCCATTTGCAGTAACCCTAAAAATGTTTATACACGACCTTAAATATTATTCTTGAAATACTTAAAGTATCGAGCGCTAAACCGATCCAGATCTGCAAGCGTCTGTCTTTGCTGCTGTGATCTAAAACTTAGAGCGTCTAACAACTGCAGAAGGCTGCTTCTGGGGGTTTTAAATATTTTCTATTTCGAGTGAACGCAAACTGCACGGATGACACGATCGATTAAATTTCGCCATGGAAACAGGTACTGTCTGTGATAGTCGGTGTGTTTGCAGGATGTGAATGGCCCTTCCCTAAGGATACTGTAACATGCGCTGCAACTCAAGAGGCATGTTCTTGTTTTAGACAGCAAATATTTACAAAGCGCCGCGCCAAGGAAAATGTTTCGCTGTACGAAAATAAGGTCGGTGGCAAAGACTTGTGGAAATGCTGTTGTGCCTCTCGGGGAGGGGGAGTGGTGTTATAATTTATGTTTTACATATTAGTAGTAGTATTTGAAACAAAAAGGGCTCAGACTCAATTGCTAGAATATGACAGTATGCTTCGTTTTTACACAGTAGTGTTAATTGATTTGTTGACTGTGTGTTTCGGTCTTTTTTTGAGATACAGTGATACATTTGTTTATTGTGGACTTTGGCTTTTATTTAAAAATGTTCAAGACTGTTGCTTAAGCGTGGTATTTAAATGCTATTTTATATGTTTTTAAAAAACACCCACATTTTAATGTGCTGTCTATTTTTAACATAGTATTTAAAAGTAGACTGTTAAATAAAAACACTTCTAATTTGTTTCTAAAATGTGTATCTGTGTGTATAGAGTGATTTTCTCCTGCCAAACCAGGAGCAGTATGGATACATTACAATCGACACATACATTATTAGCAGGGCCTGAATTATATATTATTTCTCTTAAATCACAAGTAGCATGAACAACCCACAGAACCCAGTGTCATTGGATCATTGGAGCTTCTTTGTATCGTTTCTATTAAGAAACGCCCCCAATAATCTTCACTCACAACAAGAGTATTTTCCATAGTAGCTGAACGTAGTATCTCTTAATGTTTATTGCTTCTTTTTGTTTCTTTGTAGGTTTAATGAATGAATGTGGTGAGCCGCACAAATAAAAGTTGACTGTTCTCTAGTGTATATTGGCACAGGTAACAATACCTAGGTAGAATATTAAAATAAACTGTCACATAAAAGCAAAATTACCTACATGAATGGCTATCATCTCATAAATTATAAGCATTTGATAGGTTTATTCTAACGGCTAATTAAAGGGGAGAAAGTTTCAACTGGCAAAAACAACTCCTAAGACAGAAAGACAAAAGGCTGAGGAGGTGCTCGAGTCTTTGCTGCTTAGTCACACATGCCTGCTGGCAAATGAAAGAATGATTAAGATACTGTTAACACTTTCAAACCTGACTGAACTGCCAGCTTCATTCCACACATTCCTCTGCTTCTCCTCTAACACCCCGTCTGCGTTTTTGTGATGTGTTGTAACAAACACCTGTGATCAGGGATCAAAAGACAAACCGTGCTGAGATGTGCCAGGTTGTGGGAATCTGTGTGTGTGTGTGTGTGTGTAGCGCGTGATGATTCACTGTTAATTGTCGAGACCTGCCTGCTCTGCGCTACAGGTTGGCAGGCCGTTCTTGGCAGGGTGATAGTATGTGTGTGTCTCCTGTTAGAAGACATCTCTTTCACAGAAAAGACAGGTGGCCATGATCTACGGCCTCTTACGGGAATCGCCCCCCTGACTGCTGCTGCAGTGAGAGCCAATGAAAGCTCGGTATAAGCTTGGATGCATACATGCACATGCACAAACACGGCTATTACGGTAATAACGCGGTGACATAACTACTGTTTGTGACACGGCAACGTGCAAGGAGTGAGAAAGAGAACGAATTCAGGCTGCACCGAGACGACTCTGCAGAAACGCTGCTCGGTAAATAAGCAGAGTGTCACACCACCTCCGCTTTCCCTTCACACACATGCGCTCGTCCAGCTTTTTCCTCTCTTCCCCAATTCTTTCTGTCGCAGACAAACACACGCGCGTACACACCCAGTCTCACACCAGCCAGCCAGCCATTCACTCCTCTCTCACACCCTCAAATCTTACCAAGCTGAGCTCTCCCTGCTCAGAGGCAGACAGGAGCAGCACGGCAGCCTGCTAAAGGAGTTGAGGGAAGGAGCAGCAGTGTCAGGGAGAGAGAGAGTCTGAGGAGAGAGAGTGAGGAGGGAGGGGGATGAAAGAGTGAAGGGAGACCAACCCAAGAGAGAGCACTGCTCCCCATATGCTGAGGAGGCATGGGCGGTTGAACAAGCTGCCCCCACTGAAGCCTCCTGACTCATGGGAGCGTCAGACCTCGATCCCCAGAGAGCCTGGAAATGCTGCCGAACCACGCGCAAGAGAGGAGGGGAGCCAGAGAGTAGAGGAAAAAAAAAGTCCAAGGAGAGGAGAGGGAAGAAAGCCACAACGGTAGGCTGTCCCAATTCAACTGCTGTGCCGTGATGACGTCAGAGGGCATGTGACCCAGGCTCTCCAGTGACGGCACATGGAGGGCAGGAAAGAGACGAGTTTTAAAGCTGGTGCCTTTTGGGTTGTGTGAGGGCTCTGCTCGCCTCCCAAACAACCACAGAACCACAGACGTGCGGCTCGGGGTTGGTGTTTGAGGGCAACCTGGAGTGTAAATGGTTAATCGTCGCGGGCCAGCACCAGTCACAAGGACGGCGCTAAGCGAGTAAGTACGTTCCAACCACACTCGCCAAGCAAGCAAGTCCGACACCATCTGATCTATCCGCAAAGGCGATATTTGTCTCTGCAATTTTTTTTTTTTTCCGCTATAAAACCAGACCTGGTTGTTACTTGTGGTCATCCGAATAGTTGATACGTAAAAGCATGTCTTGTGGATGGCTTTTCCATTTTTTTTTCTTCATGACACGCTGCGTGCTCTTGGTTTAGGACGTGTCAAGGGTCAAGGAAACCACAGAAGAACAAAAGTGGGGCTTGCTGCAACCAGAGGCAGCTATGGCATCTAACAGCCTTTTCAGCACAGTGACACCATGTCAGCAAAACTTCTTCTGGGGTGAGTACCACTTTCCTGCTCCCTGTTGTGTCTGGATTGGGTTGGGGGGCTCGGGTCACAGGAAGGACTCGGGGTCAGGTGGTGAGGCTTGGGTGGTGGAATTAATGGGGTTCGAGATGTTGGAACTGGTCTGATGTTTTGGGTCCAGACGAGTGGAGGGGATCAGCTGAGGTCATGGAGGACCCCGCAATCAAGGTCCAAGCTTTTGTGGCGGACGAAACACCCAACTATCATCAAGGCTTTTTCTCTTTTTTCTTTGTGCACCCAAAAAAAACCCAACAAGAAAAGAAAATGTGCCCATAGAGATTCCAGTATTTATTCTATGTGATGTTTATAAATATTTTCCAAAGAGGGAGATGATATGTTTGTGCAACATACCCTTAGATTTACAAAGCGATGCCATTGCGGAACCAAAAACAAAGGCACGGGTGATATTTTTGACAGACGTAAACAGACGCTGCACAAGGGAGTTTACAGTGGAGCATTGGAACAAGATGTGGGGGATTACTGGGCTGTGTGTGTTGGGCGCCTGTGCTTGCGCATAGAGAAGAAGTATTGATTAGTTTGCCAAGAAAGATCTGTAATCGCTTCCTGAAATTGTTTAGTTGCGCTGCTGTCGTTAATTAATCGGTGTCGATTTCTGCAGGCTCCAGGGAGCATTTACTCGACAGACATAAATCCAGATTGAACACGAAGTTGATCCACGCTGACTTCCTTTCTATGAATTCGGTGCTTAAGTCTGTAATGATGAATGTAAACGTATCACAGTGATTGCGTTCGACTTGATTCACTTCTACACAAACGGATAAAAAGATGAAATGTCTTTTGTGTGCGTAAGAAGCTCTTAATTTGCACTTTTACAACCAAAGAAATAATTACGTTATTTTTAATGTGATGATCTAATATCTAATAATATATACTCTTAATATCATATCTTCCAAATAAATACAAGATTGTGCCTCCTTCCTGAAGTGGATCTATATGGAAGTAGAAGCAAAACAAATCCAAAAACCTGTGAACGGTAGCAGTGACAACCTAATGATTTTCAACTACCTGTGAAGGCCAGCTTGCGTTCTCCAGGCTGCAGCCTGTGTTTTGGGTTTGCTCTATTGTACTGTGACAGCTTCTTTACACAGTCTAATTCAATCAGCAAAATAAATGGTTTACAAGATGAATTTTCAAATTTAAACAAACGTTTTCCTTCCCTTGCGACACAAGAAATAGACAGGCTCAGCTTAATAGACGACCTCCTCCTCCTCTTCCCCCTCCACAACCCGCCGCCCTCCTGCCTCCCGCTCCGGTCCATAGCCTCCCGCTCGTCTTGTCCAAATCAAATGTTTAAAAGATGTTTTTAAGAAGTCGCTCGGTGGTCAGACACAGCTGTTCTTCTGGGCTCCCGCTCCGCACAGAAGCAGGGTGGCTCCTAATACACTCTGAAAGCTGGGAGAGAGTGAGCGTCTTCTACCAATCACCACCACCTATTACCATGTTAACCCCCTGACCTTTCGCCGTGTCTCGGGAGGGGGCGGTGGAGGGGGTCGGAGCGCAGGAGAAGGAGAGGAGCAGCAGTGCAGGAAATTGAAAGCACGCCGTGGGAGAGGCAGACGGTGAAGAGAGAAGAGCAGATGTGTGCAGATGCTCAGGTAGAGAAGACACCCCATAAGGATGATAATCCCTGATCAGTTCTCAGACATCAAGGTTTGCTGATTGATGCCGCGCCACGCCTCATTGACTTTGCCCCTGTTTATGAACATCTGGGTAGTAAATCTGTCAGTGCAACCACAAAAAGCCCCCCTGACGGCACGGTGTGATTTTGCAAGACCACCAGTTCTTTCTGTTGTATTTATAATTTTGAATAAATAAATGTAGTGTACTGCGCTGCGTCTGAACTGGCAAAAAATTAGGAATGGCACCCTGGATATTTTTTTGCTTTAGCCAAACAAAAAAAGGAAGGGGGGGAAAAAGTAACGTGGAACTCGTTTGACTTACATAAGAACTTAAAACGTGGATTTTGTGGCATAAATATTTACATCTGTAAGCATCCTTATCAGTTCCTGTGAACTTAAAATGCATGAAGTGGATATAAAGAGAGCTGGAGCGTTGACTTTTGTTGATTTTACATATTTTCTTCAAGTCCCCCCCGCTCCAGTGTTTCTCCTGGATCATTTTGCCCAGCGTCAGCCGGTTTGCCGAGAGCACAAAATACTGTTTTTGTAGTTAGAAAGCCACATTACTCCATCCGTCTGTATATTTGTGTTCATTAAGGACATTTTTAATTTAGAGTCGAGCCTACATTCCCATGCGGCGATAAATTGAGCTGACTTGAGGGAACGGGCAAATATTCCAAATTAAAGTAGAGGGGGCTCATTAAAATTTGTCTTGGCATTTACATGAGGCAATTTTAATTTAATTGCTTTGAATACATTTTTTTTATAACTCCTCATACTGGCAGATCAGATGGAGAGGGCAGAATAATCTTCAACATGTGTGGCACCCACTCAGCCACCGTGCCTCTCCGGGGAACGTTTAAGTGCCTCTTTTCTCTATTACAAACTTAATTACATATAGACAATTAAGTCATGGGAGCAATTATCGTTCGCAGTCGAGAGGAGGGGGGGAAAGAAGTGCTTACACGCAGACGGACCCGAATCAACAACATCAAAAGAAAGAAAGCGGGGACGATGTGGGTAAATATCTGAAAACTCCAGGCGGAAAACTTTCCCCCCCGAAGAAAATCTCGGATAATTTGCAGGGAAACCGTATATATGTATTTGAGAAAGGGAGCTTCTGTTGCATAAGTGTTGCCTTAGATCTAACCACAGGCCTGCTTCTTGGAGACGTCTTAAAAGTGAACCAGACATCCCACCGCACCACCACCACCACCTCCCACCCGTTCGCCTCACCCCTCCCACCCCCCCATCCACCCGGGGAGAGACGTGTAGCCCACTCATCAATAGGTAATTTGAAAATGCCGGGGGATGGGTCGGGGGAGCGGGGGGGAGGACGATGTGAGGGCTTCACTGGCTGCTACTGTGCAGCGGAGACTCTTCCCTTAACTCCGGGCTCAAAGGAACTCTATTTAGCATCGCTTAATTGTACCTCTGAGGCAAACATGTTATTTAATCCCAGCAGGGTCATATTGATGGAGTAAAATAGCGCTGTTTGTGTTTGCGAGCTGCGCCAGCTATTAGAACTTATTAGCGCTGGTGGTTTACATTAGCCTACACGATTCCTCGGGGTAATCAGGGAGCGTTAATGTGATCGGGGTTTAATCAAAGATAGATTAATTGGTGTGTAATTCACTCAAATGTACTGTGAATGTGAGGCTGATTGTGCCCAAAAATAGACTTTAGGCTGTTATTAAAGTCTAAATGAAAGCGTCGTGGGAATAACGTAAGCTGTGATTTTTACGGTCTGAGTGTGATGTGAGAGTTGTGGAGAGTTTTTTGTCATTTTAAAAAATAATAAAGGGTTGATATACTTTACTAAAGGGGAATGAACGTTGAGAGAGTCTCTGCTGCTTTCTGAAAGTATAAATGCGGCGTCTTTGCTGTGAATCGCTGTGCTTTGTGGTCTCGATGTGGTCCAATATCTGCTTCGCTACTTTCAAAATAAAGCAGTGAAACGAGGGAGATTACTCTCATCTCTGTAATATGCAGACTGCAACAACAAATGTAGAACTCAGTGTAAATACTCGCAGTGCACTGTATATTATCTCATGTTCTGTCCTAATATTCAGTCGCTCTGGGGCTAATTACACTATTATGATAAGGTAACCTGCCAGCTGAGTGCTTATCGTAGGGTTCTGCCTATTCAAAGCATTGACATTAGACTCAAAAACAATCTCCTTAAAGGGCCAATAAAGCCTGTTTATTAAACACTTGAACGCTTGCTTAAAAAAAAAAAAGTGCTAACGCCTCGCTTGCTTTAAATCAGTGCAAATGTTCAATATCCCGTTGGTGTTTTGGCGAGATGAGAGCCAAATTGGTGCGTATTTTTGGATAGCGTTGCAAACTCATTCTGCACATAGCTATGATTTTTGAATGCACCATAATTACCGGGTAGCTTAATGCCATTGCGTTAACCAGTGAAGCTTTTAAAGCGTCGCTGTGCTATTTTCACACTTAACAAGATCCTGCAGCCACTCATCCATTTCAATAGCATCAAGCTGGGTGAATTACCGTTATCCGATATAAGCCCTCAGAGAGGAAGTAACTACCTAACACTTTGAAAAATTGGTCTATCTTGGAACGGCTTCACCCTAATGAAACGTAACACCAGTATTATAAAGCAGTCTGCTCTTTCTTTTCACATCCTCCATTTTTTTTCTTCTTCTTGGCATTTATGTTTTATTTTAGTTGTTTAAGTCAGAAGATGGCTTAAAGCGGAGCTGATACGGCAAACCACAGGAAAGGCTGAATAGCAGCGTTTCCCCCGTTGCCCGCCTTCAAATAGGCCGAGGCGGCCTCGCTTCCACGCTCCCGTGTTTCTATAACGGGGAAATATGGAGTGTTGAGCCTCCTGGATGTTTGGGTTCAGCGTGTAACGATGTGAGTGAGAGCGTGGCCACAGCGTCTACACAAGGCCTTACCTGTTCTTCGGAGAAAAGGGCAGGTTTTTCGGCTTGTTAGTTTAATCTTAAAGGAATGCGGTATCCCCTCCGACTCAGGCCAGACTCCTAAATATATAACCTTACTTTCCAGCACTAATGCACTGAAGCAATTCTGATTATTTAGTTGGTGTAACCTCTAACGCGTAGGAGTGTCAACACAGACAGTCTGGATTGTGCTCAGTTTTTGAGGAGAAGGTGAAGAAGATGAGCAAAGGAGCATCAAAGAGGGCTGAGCTGACATCAGTGGAGCACCTTGTTACAACGTGTCCAGACATCTGTATCAGCACCAAGTATTTTCCTTTTATCGCATAGCACTCTTATAAAAACATTTAGGGACAAATTTGGTAACTTAAACAGACGTTTGGCATGTAGCAAAGTCGCTGCATAA